ATTTATACTTGTCTCTCACTCCCGCAGGCTGGTACTGGAGCATATATGGCCCCTGAGCTTCTGACTAAAACTCCATACAGGACGTCAGTGGACTGGTGGTCCCTGGGCTGCAGTATCTATGAGATGGTGGCTGGCTACACACCTTTCAGAGGCCCTGAGAGCAAGAAGGAGAAGGTGGAGAAGGAGGAGGTTCAGCGGCGCATTATCAATGAGGAGCCAAAGTGGGAGCACAGGTGCTTTGATGCTGCTACCAAGGACATCATCCAACTATTCCTTAAGAAGAAAATTGATGAGCGCCTGGGCACAAGGTAACAGGGTCCTGGATTCTGTGTAACTGGAAGCAATCCGCTTGCTGTGAGGTGGCTGTGCACAGTGGCTTAGTCAACCTGACGTTTTGAGTCATTCTTGTTTCAGTGTTTGGGTTATTGGAATTTTATTTATTTTTCAAAGTTTCATCTGAAATCAATCCCACAAATGGTCTGAGGCAAAAAAAAAAGTACATTTGGATATTCACTGGCATCCTGGTGCTACGGATGTTAGGAAAGCGAGCTGGAATTTCAAGCTTGTTATGAATGAACTGGTTCAGTACGGGCAACACCAACCTGAGAAAACCTTCACATTAACTATAACCACAATGTTTGACATGACACTGTGTAGCCACTTAAAGTTTGACACTGTAGTTTTGAAACACTAATGGAGAAATATATTTTTGCCCTGTGATTAGGAACAACATGGAAGATCCCAGGAAGCATGAGTGGTTCAAGACTATCAACTTCCCCCGTCTGGAAGCTGGCCTGGTGGATCCTCCATGGACACCTAAGCCTAACGTTGTCTATGCAAAGGACACTGGTGACATTGCTGAGTTCTCTGATATTAGGGGCATTGAGTTTGACACCAAAGACGAGAAATTCTTCAAGGAGTTTAGCACAGGTGCTGTGCCCATTCAATGGCAGCACGAGATGATTGACACTGGACTGTTTGATGAGCTCAATGATCCCAACAGGAAAGAGGGTGCAGGAGGTTTTGCTGATGATAAGAAATCTGGCACCTGTATAATGATGTGAGCAGCCAAGTATTTAATATCATATATCCTTAATAACGTAATAATTTCTTAGCTTTTTCAGTCAGGTGTCCACTAATATGATGTACAAAATGGATCGTGTTTTACTACAGAGGTGAGCATGAGTACCATTGTTGAGAAAGATGTACCATCCCTCTCTTGACAGTTCTCTCATGGTTTAGAAATCTACTGCTTTGGAAGAAAGGTTCGATAAAAGATGGAGGGCACGATGATCTATTTTAAGCATCTAGTGTTGTAGACTTGTGACCATTTTGACCATAAATGATTAGGATTAAATTTTACTTCTCTATTAAAGAAAGCAGAATAAGCTAAAGGTTTTTGTGCCAGAAATACCTTGACCTCACCTGCAGCCTCAGGGCAGGAACTTAATCCTATGAGAAACTGTCTAAATTCAAACTCTATAAGAAATGAATATTCTGACAGCAATTTCCAGAAGAATGTCACTGCTTTCAGTATTAAGCTGTAAATAAAGTGGCACAACTAGCATTTAGATGCAAAGACATTTTAAAGCTGCATTAACTAAGATTTAGCACAAATCTGGATAAATCAAGTCAAAAATTGTCTAGCCCTTTCACGCATAGTGGTCACCACAGTGGACAGCTATTTAAAAGCAGTTTTGTAGTATGTGCATGGATTCTGATTGTGTAGTTGCATATCACCCACTACAGTGGATGCTAGTGTGTCATCCCATACCCTGCAACCCACTGGCCAGCCTTTGTTAAGTGCAATATTAAATTTTCAAAACCAAGATGGCTGACAGCAAGCCAGAAAGGCTGAGTAGAATACCTTGCCAATCCTTCTATAGGAGGAGACCCTTGGAGGTAAAAAATAATATGGTAACATCAAGTAACACCTAAAGAAACATGCTGTTGCAAAATTTTCCAAGTGTTGGTTTTATCTTGGGAGAAAATTACAATTCATCATTGTCCACTAAATTGGAAAAATTCATGTAAGCAAAAGAGTCATAAAAACACTGAGGAAAAAATCCTGACTGTGGCTTTTATAATACATGCATGAAAGGGCTGGGTGTGTTAAATGCATCCAAAGGATTAAAACGTGACATGGATGTGGCTTTCTTCCTGCTAACGTGCAAGTACTGTAGCTGGCTAACATGTATATATCGGCATCATTAGCAAGTTAATGTTAGCTTTTCTGTTTTGTACCTTTGTATTGAATTATTCTGGTTGTAATGTGGAGTCATTACAGCTGACTGTAGTGTTGTTTTGTTGTCCATTTAGCAGAAATTGAGTAATTTTGCTCATTTTTGCTTGGTTTTGGCCCAGTTTATGCCGGACATAACACAGCAGTCCATGTAGCATTTCAGTGAGAGATTGTTATGTCATCAACGCAGCTGGAAAAGTGGGAAGTTTGTTCAGCTATCAAAGTGTAACATGAAATTTCTCATTTCACATACAACTCACAGTTATATGTCAAGTATGTAACATTGAATGTGATGTGATAGTGGCCAGAACATTAGTACTATCAGTATTACTGGGAAAAACCATTCCTCTGTATAATTTGCCTGTGTTACTGCAGATACATCTTCTACAAACAGCATTAGACAAACGTATGCATATCGCTAAAGTGTAAACCTCTTTATTTGACATTGTGTCATTGCAATGCCAACGAAAACCATGGGCTGTATGGGCTCTATATTCTGTATTAGTTCTGTTACCTGACTGCCATAACTGTCTCCAGCTGTCATGATCACATATGACATAGTTTCAGAGAGAGGGCAGGAGGGGCAAAGAGGAGCAGAGGGAGAAGAGGAGGAGATACTGCTTGAGTTTGCTGCAACTCTCACTTTGCTTTTAATGGTCCAAAATTAGAGGAAGAAGTTAGTTATTGTAGCTTTAAGTCATCTAAACCTTGAAACTAGTAGACTGTAGAAAAGCTATAACATTTCGTAGCCATCCCCCACCTTTTTATGTTGTTTACTGATGCCATCATAAGATCACACTGTTTCTACAATGAAAAGTGTTTCTTAATCACATGTGGCAGCAGTAGTTGTAGTGTTAAATATTATATGCCGTGTTCCTAAACCTTATCATTAAGGCTTTTGTATCTAGGTGGTTTTTCTTCCGCCCAAATGAGTAGTTCTATTAAAACAATAAAATGCTATTTTTGCAGTCATATGTATTGCATAAATATACATATACAGTATACATATAACTATGCACAGAGAAAATGGGAAAAATTTAGGATTTGTTTGAAAGAAAATGATGAATATTGACCATCTCTTCACTGAGCCCCTCTACTGTTTGTGCTATGGGGCTCAACTTGCAGTAGAATGGAAACTCTTTAGTTCTGGGACGCTGGCAGAGAGACCAGTGCAGAGACTGCAGTTAATTACTTCATATGAAGGACAAAAATGTAAAGGAGTCAGGCAATATATTCATGTACCAGGGATGAACAGGCTGCCTCATCCATGGCCCTGAAACACTGTGATACCTCAGGGCTCTTTTCTTAGTTTGAGATGAGTATAAATAACTCGTGCTAGCCAGATCCTTAAAGAAAATTCCACTGCCGTGGACATTAAGCTGAGTGTAGAGACTTGGGTTAGTTTAAAAAAAAAGTTCTTATTTACTTGTCTCAGGGTAATTACTTGTTTAAGTTGTTAACTTTCCATATTTGGGCAGAGCTGAGTTTTTACAATTAATATAATATGACTAACTTACTTACGAATGAGGGATTGCTAAATAGAAATGTCAGATATGATGAAGAAATGTCTTTGAATTTTGAATCATTTGAATAAATTAAAATATGTCTTTTAAAATCTGTGTTTTCTGTAAATATGAATATTTATATGTTGATCTTGGTACATTTGTTTTGGCCATGAGAGTTAACAACACTGTCCACATCCAGCACCGACTTCAGAGGATGCGCCATGTTCTCTAGGTTATATATAACCAGAGAAAGTGCTGCTGAGGACTCCAGAGTAAAAACCTAAAATATCTGCTGTATTAATCCCTTTGGATGCTGACTATGGCCAGGCTGCACAACAGGCTGCTACAAAATGCCAAGTCTTAGCTGATAAGACAAAAACCAGTGATATTCTTGCACCTTCTTTACTTAAATCAGCTTCAAATCCCCTCAGGCTCTGAAGGAGCTAAATGTTTCTGCCAAGTGAAGAATCTGAGCAGAAACCAGAATCTTACAGCGCTGAGCTGAAAAATATTACGTCAACCCTTTTTTGTTTGTTTGTTTGCAGAAAGAATGTCGTATGAATGAAAGACAGTCCTTAAAATCGGCTAATTGTGAATACTGAAAAATAAGACTACTGATGGTGTTTTTGAGCAAATATTTGTAGAGAGCATTTAAACACTAACACATAAAACAGATGGTCGTTTATATTTTATGTTTATGATCCCACAGTTACAAACATTTCTCAATTTATATTCCAAGAAATGGACAGTTGTAAATATCTATTTGGCATAAGCTTTTTCTTCCTAACACCACCTGTTTACAAGAGTCTAACTCAAGAACGGTAAGAGCTTAGCAGACACTGAATTCTTGCTCCAGCTAAACCCCGGGGGATTATTTCGCATGTAACGGGACTGCTGTTGAATGAGAAGGCAGAGTGCTGCTGCTTTGGGGCACTGTGGGAGCTAGACAGACAGAGGTGGTGTCAAATTAGAGCAGACAGTTGTGATCTGGCCTCTTTTAATACTGACCTGATATAGTCTGACTTCTACAGCCGGTGCACTCTCTGTGGGCACAGTTAATGCCTGGAACCAGTGGTTAGACTACAGTTTATGCTTCAGGAAACATCTAAATGATTAGAAACTTAGCTACACTTGCAGACAAGTATCCCCGGGTGCGAGCACTCGACATAACTTGTGACCCAAAGGCTCATTTACCAAATGAGGCTAAGAGCATTGTTGAATAAAGCTTAAACAGGCGATTTAAAAATCATAAGAAATGTAGCCTAATAAAGGGTTGAGATAATAAGCTTTTATTTCTTACTGGGTAGACACATTTTAGCATAAACATTTTTCAATATGATACATATTATGGGATATGACCTTGCTGCTGGAAGAAAAGGGAAAACAAATCTCAGCTTCTAACCACCAAGCTTATTTACCAGAGTCTCTCATCTGATGTTGTGGACACTAGTATCTTATTCAACTATGTGGATTTGTCTACATCGATCTGTGTAGTCAGAAAAGCCACAAGATGCACAAATGGGAAATGTAAAATAACTCACTAACCTCCTTGGTTCTCTGCAACGGCTCAGTCCTTTTGGCAGCACTATACCTGAGCCACACATTCACTAACAGCTTGCTCCATCTGTCTTGTTTCTGGCTCCCTCATGTGG